GCTGTCCGGGCAAAATTTCCCTCATAGCACACTGTATGGCGTATGCCCGTCTTCATTAGCCCAGGTTAGGAGCAGAACAGTAGGACGTTAAACTTAATTTCATTTCATTTTATTTCTGTCCATCTGTCATCTACCCAATCTGATTAAAATACAGATCTATATTTCGTTTCGTTTTTTTTTATACTTTCGATGGCCTACAAAACATGAAGATCTGACAAGTTGTACTCAAAAGTCGTGTCAGACATTGATTAATCAATCAGCGTTGACGTTTCTAGTGGTTTACCCACAGTTCCGTGCTTGGCACGCCAAGAAGTCTCCGTAACAAGCCGTTTAATTGGCTTCCGAAAGATCGGAAAAATATCAAATAAAGAACTATATGATAATTACAGTCATTGGCATGCACTGTTCTATTCGTTCTGCCTACTCATCGTCGAAGTGTTGTCTTATGTGACCAGATGGAAAGGTCAGGAAGTAAAAATGAAACGAAATGAAATAAAATGAAATGAAATGGGGTTTAACGTCTCACTGTTCGTTTCAGACTGGGATAGTGAAGACGAGCCGACGGACGGACGGGGGCGACGACAATATACGATCTCATTTCAATGCGAGCGCTTCAAAATAAAATGAAACGGGGATTAACGTCCTACTGTACTGCTCCAACTGGGCTAATGAAGACAACAATGAAGTAGAATCTCATTCAATTATTTTCTTTTCAAGACGGGCCTCTCCCTTTTTTGCCCCTCCCCCACGCCAAATTATCCAGAACATATGTCATATTTGGTATTTTAAGGATCATACGTATTTACAAGCGGTGGCTCAGTGAGTAAGACGCTGGCTCGTAAACCAAGGGGTATCGGTTTCGGCCGAGAAAGTTCCTTGGATTTTCAGGCGCGGTTTCTCCTTGTCAGTGCTGAAGGACGGGGTTCTGGCAAGATATTGTCTAGTTGTTCGGTTTGGACGGAAAATCGAGGCACTGTGTACACATTGGTGGGCACATAAACGAACTCTTGACAGCTGAAACATTTGATGCAGATAAGTTGAACGTTAAACCCCATGCCATTACTCAGAAGCAAATCTACCCGTAAAATGAAATCATCAAATGGACACTGTGAAGGTTCATTACAATCTGACTGATTTGTTAGGACGTCAACCTACTTCACAAATTAGTTTAATCAAAATGGTGTCGACATACTAACGACCTTCCATGGGTTTTCTTCCGGTAGTTATAAGTTCAAATTAACAACCTTACTACAAATTAATTAGCAATATACAATATAATAGGAGGGTGGGGGCACGGTAACTCATTAAACAGGAAGTGGCAGGTTCGATCCTAATAACCGGACAAATCGCCCAGACCGACGAAAATGACCTAAAGATATATATATGTACATACTATGTCCCTATGTCTAAATGTTCGTCCAAATTCTTGCCTGTTTTGTCAAATGTCCGTATTGCGTGTATGTCTGTAAATGTCTATGCTTGTCTATAAGTTCGTCCATATTTATGTCTGTTTTGTCACAAATTCGTCTGTTTATCAATGTCAATGATCGTCTCTAATGGCACTTCTTTATTTTTTGCTCCTGTTATCTCATGTCTCGTCCTGTTATCTATTGTCTTCTGTAGATATATATAAAAACCTAATTATCCTTTTATTCCACTAATCACATTGTAAATATTTCACTATGTATATATTACATGTAATTGTCTGCGATATTACCTCGATGGAAGTGGACGTTAAATAAAGCTATTTCACACTCGCCCACAGCAGCTCAATCGTCCGGGCAGTCAACAAAAGCTGTCGCATATTTTTACTTTTTTCGGTAATGAAACATTTATAATACACTAAAATCTGTTTAAGAGCAACAACTCATGAAGTAATTATCAGAAAACCATTAGAATTTGTTTAGTTTTTATAAAGTTCTGCCCCTTGCTAACGTTTTGTATACAAAACTTTTAATATCATGGATTTAGCTGTTCAAGTCATAAAAACTCATTGAAAATCAATATACTTGCTCGTTTCAAGATCTTAAACGTTGTGTATCAATCTGAAGGCAATCGGATGATAACTTAAATTTAGCCTTTAGAGCGTCACAAAGTGATCAAGGGCCATAACTTTGACAGTAATTATCGGAAATAGTTGAAAATCAATAGGATTCTTCGTCTCATGACCTTAAACACAGTGTATCAATTTAAGGTCAATCGGATATTAATTCTGGTCTCTAGGGCGTCAACAAAATTTCTTGAAGTGATCAAGGGCCATAACTCTGGCAGTAATTATTGGAAATCGTTGAAAATCAATAGGCTTTTTCGTCTCATGACCTTAAACCTTTAAATTTAAAGTCAATTTGATATTAACTTTGACCTCTAAAGCGTCCACAAGATTTTTTAAAGTGATCAAGGGCCATAACTCTGACAGTAATTATCGGCAATCGCTAAAAATCAATAGGCTTCGTCGTCTCATAACCTCAAACACTGTGCATAAATTTAAAGTCAATCGGATATTAACCTTAGCCTCTAGAGCTTCCACAAGATTTTAAAAAGTGACCAAGGGCCATAACTCTGGCAGTAATTATCGGAAATCACTGAAAATCAATAGGCTTTTTCGTCTCAAGACCTTAAACACTGTGTATAAATTAAAAGTCAATCAGATATTAATTTTAGCCTCTAGAGCGTCCACAATGCCGGACCGACGGACGGACGGACAGGGGCGACGACAATATACGACCACATTTCAATGTGGGCGTATAAAAATTGATATACATTGTCCGGCAATGATACAGTACCCCTGAGAACACTTCTCGCCCCCCCCCCCCGGTTGCTCCGAGCTAGTTACGGCCCTGGATGAGACAAAATCAACTCTGCGCCCAAGCTTTCCCCCATAGAGCTCTGCACGGAATATATATGTATCTTCATTAGCCCGGTCGATGCAGAGGAGTAGGATGTTAAAGCACATTTCATTTGAGTCGCTGATTCGAACATCTGATATTACTCCTATAAATTTGGATAGTTTTCAGATAGTTATCAAACAACTTCTTTGTATTACGAGTAGTTGGCCGATTCATTGGTATTTGTCGGCGTGGTTCCCTCTTGTCAGTAGTGCAGAAAGGAGGGCTAGACATGGAAGGCTCTCTAGTCGTTCGGATGGGACGAAAAATCCAGGTTCCGTGTACACATAAGCGTCTATGTAAAATGTCTCTTGGCAGTTGGAACAGTTTGACAGAACAGTATAGACGTTAAGCCCTATTTCATTTCATTTTGTTAGTCTTAAAAAAAAAAGAATTTCATGCAAAAAGATATAAACAATTTTATAGTATTGGTAATAGCCAAGGTCTCCCGAGAGTAATAAAATCGTCTTAAATGTAAAAAGTATCAATAAAAAGATCGACTCGGTTTCACAAATTAAATTAAACTGTTTATAACAGACATAAAATAAAACATTGTTTTGATTAAACGATATCGTATTAAATTTATGTAGCCGCAGTTCCTCTAGAATATAAGAGAGAGAGAGAGAGAGAGGGAGAGAGAGATGGTGTTTAATGTCCAGTCGACACAAACTAGGTCATTCGGAACTAGCATATGGTTCAATATTATTTCAATAATTCGCTTGCGCGTAAGGTCTTTAGCAGTGGGAGAAAACCGGAGGACCCGGAGAAAACATACGCCTGACATAAACCGTGTCTATGACCATGTATAAGACAATTACCAGGATATATTAAACATACACCTTCTCTGTGACCACGCACGACACTTATGAACTTGCTATATCTATCTGTCCTGTAAGGTCACTACCCAGGGGCGGATCCAGGAATTTTTGCAGGAGGGGATTTGCCAGGTTCATAAGAAAAAGTATCGCCCCCCCCCCACCTTCCTCGGCTTTACATTTTTTGAGAAATATATATACATGGTCTCTATAGTCATTTTGGCGTATATTACATACACATTGAGCTTTTTAAACAGAGAAATCCAACATCGTGTTTGACGTCAATTTTTATTATGAATTAATACGATGACATTGTGATTCAATTTTATTGATGCAAAGCATAATTTTGATATCACATATGTCTATATCATTATCTCGCGCTTTGAGTGCCCATCCCGTCGCACCATCTGACGATAAAGGATAAAGCATAATTATGACACTTTTGTTTTACAAATTATTTATGTAGCTGATCTCCCCTCTGGATCCGCGCCTGCTACCGTATAGCTCAGCGAGTGTGGCGCTAGATCGCTATCCAGGATGTCTAGGGTTCGATCCCGGTTTTGGAAGGGGAAGTTTCTCCATGCCAGTGGTGCAAGGCGGTGGGACTGACAAGGGGCAGTGTGTAGTAACTCGGATGGGAAGAAACACCGATGTCCCGTGTACACTTCATCGTGTGCGGAAAAGAGCTCTCGACATTTGGAATTCGATGGTATTTACGGAAACGCCGCTGTCCGAACACACTGGGGGTTTTGGATGGCCGAATGGTTAGCACGTACGCGCTGTATCATAAAGTCTGTCATTGAGTCAACTGGCGTGGTTTCGATTCCTCGGTTGTACGTGACAAGGAGTAGGGTCGCCTGTCCAACCTCGTGGGTTTTCTGCGGGTCCCCCGGTTTCCTCCCACTGCTAAAGACCCTACGCGCAAGCGAATTGTTGAAATAAAATTGAACCATGTATTAGTCCCGAAATGACCTAGCTTGTGTCGAGTGGACGTTAAACCCCATTTCTCTCTCTCTCCCGAACACACTGCATGGCTGTCTCTGTTATCGTTGCGCCTTTACCTCATGAATATTCAACAACACCTTTTGAGAGAGAAGGGCCAAGAGAGAGAGAGAGATTGAGAGAGAGAGAGAGAGAGACAGAGAGAGAGAGAGATGGATTACTGAGATGAGACTTAGATGCTTTAATAAATCAAACGCAAACTCAGTCAAGGCACATACCCCACCCCCCACCCCCACCACACACACACACACACACACACACACCCATGATGCCAAGTAAATATGGCGGTGCATATTACCTGATAATATATATAATGATGCTGCTATTAATGTTTTCCGGTCACCATGGATACTTCCAATAGAATGAAGAATAACAGCGACCATACATAGTATTAAAGCACTCACTGGTAACGGTGCAGCAACACGAATCGCTCCTGAAAAAAAAACCAACCCACCAAACATTAAATCATTAAAATTAAACAGAAAATAGATTAACTGACAGAAACACGAATCACGAGTGAAAAACAAATATTAAATCATTTAAAAAAAACACACTAACTGACAGAAACACGATTCACAAGTTAAAAACGGTTTAAATTATAGGGTCCATGTGACATCACATATATCAGTTGTCCTATTATAAACATTAAACAACATGGAAATAGGGTTCAATGGCCTACCTATCGGCATAGACTGGTGTAACTGATCCATACGGACACGAGGATAAAATGAAATGGGGTTTAACGTCCTACTCTTTTTAAACTGACTGGGGTATTTGGTCCACACGGACACGGAAAAAAAATGAAATGGGGATTAACATCCAATTTTTCTGCACCGACTGGGGTATTTGGTCCACACGGACACGGACAAAAAGGAAATGGGGTTTAGCGTCCCACTTTTCTACATCGACTGTCGACTGGAATAATTGTTCCACGCGGACATGGGGGATAAAATGAAATGGTCTTTCATGACACGTCAACACAACCGGACTATAATTTAATACTAAAATAAAATGAGATAAATGGGGTTTAACGTCCTACTGATCTGCGCCATCCAGCCTAATGATGACGGGCATCATTCTGCACACAGAGATCCATCTACGTCAGTCTTCGAGAATAGATCTCTGCTCTAAATGACCACTATATTCAAAATCTGTCATACACACAATAACTTTTTCAATTATATTAAATGGAAGCAGAATAAATTCAACAAATTCTCGAAGTATACTTAGTGTTTACGACTAAAATCGTCGATTTACAAAATGTCGGTGAACTAGCTTAGTGTCTGTTCTCAAGGGGAGCTAACTGTAGACGGACGGACAGCCTAAGTTTAGTATGGACGGGAAAATGCCATGTTACTCTACATCAAATTAGAACTGTCATGATTTATTTTACGAGGAAGTAGATGGACTTATAGATGCCCTTTACTAGCAAGCTCGCATCGACATCCCTACCCCATCCCCCAAATTTCCCTCATATGCTCGTCTACATTAGCCTAGTCGGAGCAGGGCCCTGTTTCTCGAAATCTTAACTAAAGATAAAATCCCAATTTTAGTAGATACTTCAATTTTGATTGGCTAAGCACTAAAATCAATCTAATATTATCCAATCAAATTACTAAAATTTGAATTTTATCTTAGTTAAAATTTCGTGAAACAGCCCCCAGAACAGTAATACGTTAAACCTCGTTTCATTTCGTTTCTTAAATACAGCGTAATGTCGACTACATTAAAATTCCATTATTTCAACATTTTACAGTTTCGCTACAAAACTTCAATATTTTATTGATATTTTAAAGGCAGGGCAGATTTTAAGATTGAACATAATCGATAAGACCACAAATCATTTCGATCTAAAAAAAATTACGTCAAAATCAATCAATAGCTGTATTGGTTTTTATCGATTTTACATTTTTCTTGTTCCTTACTAATAATTCTGAAAAAATAAAATAATAATAATCCTCTACAAGACAGTCTGTTCCTCCTAAAGAATTTTTTTTTTTTAGTGTTAAAAATAGCTTTTCGTTAAAGAAAATACATTATACACACATTATGCAAGAGTTAAATTTGTTAATTGCAGGTCTTTTTTTAGGCCTGAAAGTTATCTAAATTAATAATTAGACATTAATTAACTTATCTAGACCATAATCAACTCTCGATAGCATCGCTAGCCTCCGATATTTACTGGATTAGAACCCGGTATGCTGCTTCGGATTAAATCAAGACTAGGTTTTTATCGTACCTACTTAAGTAATGATAGCTAGATTCTCGGTTCAGCAAATTCCCTTTACATCATCTAGTTTTTAATTATTATAATGAAAAACTACCAGCTCTTTATCTAATCTCCCATAATGTATCTTTAATATCCGAAGATATACATCCAGGAAATACAGCTAGATTATGATATATATCAGCATGTAGTAACAATGGGTATATTTATATTATTTTATACATATTATTATCTACCGTACTACCATTACACCAGCAATCAATTAAGTCACTTCTGTTTGGCACAGATAATCAGGCTACAACTAATAACATCTTTAAAATAGTACATGAATACTTATCGATGTCATCAGACACTTGATCAATATCTGATTTTATTTATAGAACAATTATTTTAATCATGTTATAAAACAGCACTTCCTCTTTTTTTATTTGTTATAAATAATGTGTATATAATTTATTCAATTTATATGATTTTCACCATTATTTTATAGTATGTACATAGCAGATCTGTTTATTATATGTTTTATATTCCCAATCTAATTAAAATATAGATCTATATTTCGTTTCGTTTTTTATACTTTCGATGGCTTACACTACATGTAGATCTAACAAGTTATAGTGGGAGTTCACGTTCTATGACGTCAGGTACCAAGCAAGCGTCATTTGACCCGATTACGTCAGTCTTCGATTAACCAATTAGCGACCGCTTTGTTTTGATTTCTATTGCCGCTAATGTCTACCCACAGTTCCGCGCAAAAAAAGGTCAAACGCTCGATTCGACAGACCATTTGATTGGCAAATAACAACGCTTCCAGATCCAAGTGTAGTAAAGACAAGTAAAATCGAAAGTTTGAACTATAAAAACGAAAGGAAATAGGATCTGTGTTTTAATCCGATTGTTATATTCCATGTATGAGGAGAGGGGTAATATAGGCTATGCCTGTTCACTGACCCCTTTTCATAAATTTGAAATAAAATATTGTTTACAAAAACTACGTACTATCTAATTCAAACTTGTTGTGGGGTTGGGGTGGGGTGCGTATTATTAACTAAAACATGCATATACCAATGTTTTTAACCTTTGAACTGTAGTATGCGAAAGAATCAGCCTCAAATAACACACTATTTATGGAATAACAATTACTATGGTTTATTTCATTGCGACGTTTCAACAAGATTTCACAAGTAGTTGTTGAAACGTCCCAGTGAAATAAACCATTGTAATCGTTATTCCATAAATAGTGTGTTATTTGATTATGTTCTAATTACTAAATGCCATTCAAAGAAAATAAAACTGGACTATTGGTGGTTCAAATTGTATATTTATTAATTTTTGTAGTTTTTTTTCCTATGCACCATACTAATATACGGGAAATATTTTTTGGGGCTTAATTTATATTTTTGTTTTGTTTATTTGAATGGTTAGCATGTGCGCGCTATATCAAAAGGTCTGTCAACTGGCGTGGTTTCGAGTCCCCGGTTGTACGTGACAAGGAGTGGGGTCGCCTATCCAGCCTCGTGAGTTTTCTCCGGATCCTCCGGTTTCCTCTCACTACTAAAGACCCCTACGCGCAAGCGAATTATTGAAACAAAATTAAACCATATGTTAGTCCTGAAATGACCTAGTTTGTGTCGAGTGGACGTTAAACCCAATCTCTCTCTCTCTCTCTCTCTCTCTTAAGGGTTGGTAGTGTACTAAGACAACATGTAAATACAATGAAACTATTCGAGGTTCAATTCAACTGTTTACTCTGGAGGCAATCAGCGGATATCATTAACGTGGAAATGGACAGTTTATATCCTAGGATTAGGACAGTAACAACTCTTGTTTTCAATTTCCCGATGTTCTTTGATAATGACCCCGAGGCGTTCGACCATATCAAGCGGTTAATGACGTGTGTGGAACAGACAATGATTTCACGTTAAAGGGCCAGGATCTCTTGTGTTTGAATGAATTAACGAAATCTGGTTTGATGTCCTACTTTTCGGCACCCACCGGAATAATGAAAAAAAAAATGAATGAACTGAATTGGGGTATAACGTCCTACTGTTCTTCCCCGACTAGGATAATAAAGACGAGCATGCGCAATACAGTGTGCTATGAGGGCGATTTTACCCGAATAGTGGCACTACGGCCTACTCTTAAACCGAATCCCAACTGTCTAAGGGACTTCGTTTTTTTTATTCTATCCATACGACAACGCGCTCTATCTATCAGAGAGAGAGAGAGAGAGAGAAGAAAGAGAGATATTACATCCTCTCGACTTAAACTAGGCCATTTCGGGACTAACATGTGGTTCAATGTCATTTCAATAATTCGCTTGCACATAGTTATCTTTAGCAGTAGGATGAAGCTTCGGGAACCGGGGAAACCACACGACGTTGGGCAGGCGATCCTACTCCTTGTCACATAAAAGCGGGGAATCGAAACCACTCCACCTGAGACCAAGTGGCGCATGGAGGATATCAAACTTGTAAATACCCCTTGGCAGTTGGAATTCGATATAAGAGTAGGCCGTAGAGCCGGTGTCCGGTTAAAATTACACTGATTAGCACACTGTACGGTGTGGGCCCGTCTTCATTAGCCCAGCCGGAACAGAACAGTATGACGTTAAACCCAATTTCATTTCATTTCCACTTATCTCTTTTTTTTGTTCAACTTGTGTTCAGCGTCAGCTCTCATTTAGCCGTTACAACGATGAATTTTATTGGGAAAAAAGGTTTTAGCCAGTCACAGCGACTCGGATAATCGACCAGTTAGCGGTAAGAATAATATAATATATATAAATAAAGATCTAATTTGACATTTCTGACTGCAACCCAAATTAATTTGGCTCAATGGGTAAGACACAGACTCGCGAACCTGGAGGTCAAGGGTTAGGAATGAATAGTTAGTGTGTTTTCCCTTTGTTATTGGCACGGGGAGGAGGACCTGGCACAGAACATCATCTAGTCATTAGGATGGAACGAGAATACACCCCGTGTACACATTGGCGTGCACGTAAAAGAATCCTTCACAGTTGAAATTTAATTGCTGTCTAGGACAAATTAATCTCATATCAAACTGTATATAGTGTATCCCAGACTTGATTATCCCGGTTGGTGGAGAAACATAAAACTCAATTTCACTCATTCAGCCATATAGCCTATACCCGACTTAATTATCCTGGTCGGCGGAGAAACGTAAAACTCAATTCCACTCATTCCGCCATTGTAAACCAAATTTGGGGGGGACGGAATGGTGAGCGTGTGGGCGTTGTATCATAAGGTCTGTCATTGAGTCAACTGCGTGGTTTCGATTCCCCGGTTGTACGTGACAAGGACTAGGGTCGCCTGTCCAACCTCGTGGGTTTGCTCCTGCTTCCTCCCACTGCTAAAGACCCCTACGCACAAACGAATTATTGAATAAAGTTGACCATCCGTTAGTCCCGAAATGGACTAGTTTGTGTCGAGTGGACGTTAAACCCACCTCTCTCCCACCCTCTCTCTCTCTTTCCCTCTCTCAAACCAAATACATATCAGCGTCCCTTTAAAAAAAACAACATGGCCGTCCACGACATCATGTAGACCCTGTCAGATTTTCTTTATTAGATTATAAGAATTTGTCTTCAATCACCATTTTAACGATGCATTGATGATGTTCCCTCAGGATTCCATCTAATGTTACATTAGCTATTATTGATAATATAAGAATGTTATTGCAAAGATAATTTCATAAAATATTCTTTAAATCCAATACGCTTGTTTTTATGAGTTCATGGGGATGTCAAACCCCCGCTGGCGCATTCGGGATCGGGAGCCACGGTGGCTCAGTAAGTGTGTGAGAGAGAGAGAGAGAGTTTAACACAAACCGAGTCATTTCGGGGCTCACATATGGTTCAATTTTATGTCAATAATTCGCTTGTGCGTAGGGGTCCTCAGCAGTCGGAGGAAACCGGAGGACCCGGAGAAAACTCTCGTGGTTGGACAGGCGACCCTACTCCTTGCCACGTACAACCGGGGATTCGAAACCACGCCAGTCGACTCAATGACAGACTTTATGATACAGCGCGCGCACGCTAACCATTCGCCATCCAACCCCCCAGAGAGAGAGAGAGAGAGAGAGAGAGAGAGAGAGAGAGGGCTTAACACAAACCAGGTCATTTCGGGGCTAACATATGGTTCAATTTTATGTCAATAATTCGCTTGTGCGTAGGGGTCCTCAGCAGTCGGAGGAAACCGGAGGACCCGGAGAAAACTCTCGAGGTTGGACAGGCGAGCCTACTCCTTGTCACGCACAACCGAGGAATCGAAACCATTCGGCTATCCAACCACCCTCATTGAGTAAGACATTGGCTAGCTAACCTGGAGGTTTAGTGTTGGTTCCTGTGTTGGACGAGTAATTAAGTTCATCGGGTTTTTTCCGGCGTGGTTCCCCCATGTCAGTGGTGCAAGACAGGGAGCCTGGCAAGAGAGAGTGTGTAGTCGTTCAGATGGGACGAAAACCCGAGATCCCGTGTACACATTGGTGTGCACGTAAAAGATCCATTGGAATGTTTGAATTCGATATTAGAGTAGGCCGTGTCGCTGTCTAGGCAGAATCTCGCTCATAGCAAAGTGTATGACGTATGCCCTTGTTCATTAGCTCAGTCGGAGCAGAACAGTAGGACGTTAAACCCCATTTCAATTGAATACATCAATTCTATATATCATCTGGAGATAACATTTGAATATATCATTTAAATATATCATTTGAATATATCAATGTTACTATGGACAAAGTAAAAATACTACCGTTTAATTCAGTTTAGCTTAATGAAAATTCCTAGCGCATATTTCCTGGAGGTACGATTTACATGAAGTATAGAAGAATTTATATAATAATTGGTTCCTTTTTAATTGAAGCTAATTACTATTAGTATTCTGTGCGAAGGTATTTTCAATAGAATTTATTACACGAACAGATCCAGTGAGCTAGAATTAATCCCTTTCTTCTGCGTCAACGGAATAAGACCATTAATTATACAAGAAAATTCCATGTTTTATGTGTACAATGAAGTTGCTGATTCTGACACTTCAGATCTTTTAGAAGATGTCTCTATTGGACTCAACTCATTAGATGAGGTCCATGGTAATTAATTCATTAATTTGTCCTGAAATCTACAGGGGTATCAATAACCAATTAATCAATAGACACTGAAACTCTATTTTCAACACGTGAATTAATTGATCTTAATTTAATTAGTCTATCCTGACCGTTCTTGTTTTCTCATGAGCGTTCCAAACATGCATTATATTGAATATTGCATGAGTGATTCCTTGGGGTGCATAACTACCTAAAATAGAGAGAAAGAGAGAGCGAGAGAGAAAGAGAGAGAGACATGGGGTTTAACATCCACTCGACACAAACACAAAAAAGGCCATTTCGGGAATAACGCATGGTTCAACTTTATTTCAGTAATTCGCTTGCGCGTAGGAGGGAGAGAGAGAGAGAGAGAGAGAGAGAGAGAGAGAGAGGTTTAACGTCCACACAAACTAGGTGATTTCGGTACTAACATATGGTTCAATTATATTTCAATATATTTTACCCTAATTTCAAATCAGTTATATTTGGCGAAATACGCAAGAAGTCTCAATCGAATGGCAATCTCTAGCGTTTAGTTATTTCGATCTACACCGATAGTATTTATTGTGCATGCTCTCCAGATAAGAATATGGCATCACCGTTTGACATGACTTGTGGAATATGTCTAGCCTCGTTCTTCGAGTCCCGTGTAACAAATGGCGCTGAAACGCATTATTGTACATGATTCGTGTACCGATGGTAAAATGTTTATTTTGTCTTAAATATTGGATATCAGAAGCCCATCTCTTCCCGGTAAGATCACAACATCAATGTTGATTTAAATTGACAAATAATTTGTGTTTTAGATGTCAAAGACTGGATGATATTGAGTTCGAGACTTAGCTACTTTAAATATACTTAATCGACGTTTCTGTCAACAAAAACAAATTCACAAAATAGAAGAAACACTCTAGATTCGAAATACCGAGATTTCGGAGGACATTTCGAAAAAGTGAGAAAATAGACGAAAACCGTATTCGTTTTGCAATTATGATTATCTCGCGTGGTACGCGTATCCAATAGGCTGGCGAATGGAATACGGGTGACGTCAGTACATAAACTGATGACGTATTCGTTTTCGCTCTCGTGGCTTCCACAACCTCTCTAGTGTCATCGCTGTCCTAGTAGTAGTAGTAGTGTATAGTAGTCATGGAATCGTAGTGGTGGTATGGGTAGCCATGGTAGTCGTAGTAGTCGCCATAGCCGTAGTGATAGCAGTAATCAACTTACCTACAATAGTCATACATGTTGGAGCGCCCTCTAAACGTCCATTTCCTTCCTGTGTATAATCTATGGCCATACAATGATCAGGCTCCTGACCTGAAACAAACAATCATATAATATGAAATGAAATGAAATGGCCTTTAACGTCCTACTGTTCTGCTCCTATACTGGGCTAATGAAGACGGGCATACGCCATACAGTGTGCTATGAGGGAAATTTTGCCCGGTCAGAGGCACTATGGCCTACTTTTATATTGAATTCCAACTGTCAAGGGATCTTTTACGTGCACGCCAATGTGCACACGGAACCTCGGTTTTTCGTCCCATCCGAACGACTAGACAGCTGTCCTTGTCAGGCCCTCCGTCCTGCATCTTTGACAAGGAGGTACCACGCCGGAAAATCTGGATGAACCTTTTCGGCCAATGCAGGGATCGAACACCCGAACTCCAGGCTAGCGAGCAAGCGTCTTACCCACTTAGCCACCGTGAACCCCAATCATATAATATAGTAGTAGTTTATTAACGTCTCACCGGTTATAAATACATCACAATCATAAATTATAATATATACTAAGTATTAAAAAAACTGTCATTCATTAGGAGACGATAAGCATAGTAAAATACACATAACAAAAAACACACCTACAACAGAAATTCTAAAATTAATATCCATACTACGATAAAAATAAGAACCCATTCACGAACATGGATATAAAGTTTGCCTCCGTCTTTTTAAAATATCGCAGCAGGTTTTGCCACTCAACTTAACTACTTCATCACTGAACAGAATAAAATATATTATATTAGATTAAACGAGATCAACTATATCTAGAAAAATACAAGTTCCGGTCATGGACGGTTGATTGCGGTCACAAACGAAGAACGCTAGATCGGAGACGGTCCTGCACATATGACGTCATGAGATTTCAGCGTGGAGGGAACCGGAGGGCCCGGAGAAAACCCACGAGGTGGGACTGGCGACCATACTCTTTGTCACGTACAAGCGGAGAATTGAAACCACGTCACTTGGCTTAATGACCAACCTACCGTTCTTGCTGTTCGAAGTTAAGCCTCGCTTCTCCATTTTTAAATTAAATCAAAATATGGCTGAACCGTTCTAATCTACTTAATATTGAAGATATCCGATGGCATCGAGAGTTGATTAAGGTCTTGTCATGTTATTAAATATCTAATTAATAGTTAATATAACATTTCAGGACTTGCAATAGGCAGATTTAGCCCTTGCATAATATATGTTTAAATGTACTTTTACAACAAACCTGTTTTAAGGAGTTTTATATTTTTTTAATCAGAGACAACACGTCTAATCGTACAGTTCAATTCATTTGAAATTGGCTGACTTGATCAATTGAAAGCTGTCTACACCACGCACACTGTTTGGACACAAAAAACCTGAATTATTCACACGTGTTATTTCACAAACGATTTTCATCAAAGACGTTTAATTTACGTGTCAATCTCAAGATAGTGCCTAGAAAAAAGGTATTGTTTAAAACAAGCCCAGGTTGTCATGAGCAGCAGGTTTTATAGAATGATCTGTCTGTTGTGAGTTAAAAATAACATGGCATAGGGTAAAAGAGGCAATGAGTCATTGTGGTTGGAATAATTTGTTGTCGTCCATCTGCGCCTTTGGTCATGTTTAAAGGGACCATCCGATTTTAACAGAGTCTCAGAAAAAAAAGTCCGTGTACGTATGGGATTTCAGCGCCAAAATTTAGTGGCATGGTGTGTTAACCGTGTCTCAAAATTCCAGCTCAAAATATTGAGTCGTTTGGACGTGAGCGTCAAAATTACTTATCCGGACACGTAACCCATTTGAGATTTCGGGTCAGTTGTTTCTTTTGGTGACCTGATAATCTATTGCTGTTCCTTCAGAGGTCTATACAGTGCATGGCCCAAGTGCTGTACTTTGATAACGAAAGGTAAATTTCACCTATACGTTATTTTTATAAAATAAAAGTTCGGTTTTATCAGACACCGTATATTGGGACTCCGGTCTTCATCTTGTCTACGATATCACCTTAGGTGGAAGTGGACGTAAAACTCTAGGAACAAACGAACGGTCTCCATTTACAGATGAAGACTGACGGGTTTAAGTTGTTTGAAAACGTATCACGGAGGTTGAGTTAGTTGCTCGAACCTAACGTAGAGGATTATAAGCAGTTTTATGTTTCAAAATATAATCGAGATTGACCCTTTAAAGTCCCAATGCGCCATTTGCATTATTTCGAATTCCAACTGTCGAGGGTTATTTTACGTGGGTAATAAAATGGTATTGGCAGGTTTGGCACACCATGTGTTAATGAAGTCTCGATGCGCCATTGCAATTTTTCGCTAAAAGATTAAATTTCTCACGGCTTAATACACGCTAAATATGTACCCAGACTGATTATTTCACATTTAATTCAGAAAACAAAATCCAAATAACTACGCTAGCTAACGGCACGGCTAGGATTTGGTCGGATTTAAAGAAAACCTGTCATTAAATTTTCGCGGACAACAAAATGGCAGCGGGCTTATTGGACAGGGAATAGCAAAGATCGATGATCTAATTTCAATTCTACATTTCTGTGTAGGATAGAGCATGAGACTGGGGTTATGCTGGGGAAAAAAGGCCGAAGAAAATAACCCGAGAAAAAGAAAAACCGGGGCCGACAGGCAGATGTTTTGAGGGTTTTTTTCTGTTTATAAACCGTCTATGTTTACATGTACGTAAAATGAGAATATCCCCGATATCATGTTTTCTTACAGAAAAAAACTTACCGTGGAAGAATAACCTGTTACAGGTTTAAACAAAAACTTTCAGAAGAATAACCCCAAATTCCCCTGTATATATCCAAAGCCACTCCCGACTTTCAGACCGAAAGTTATTCCGGGCATAAAATATACCTCAAAGATCAAAGAGATTTACCGTTATAAGTTTATAATTTTAATACTGAACGAAATTGAACAATTTTGGAACTGGTATCCGTATCAGAGATTTATCTTTCACAGTGATGTAGTCTCTGTAAGTGATACTATGACGGTACACTGATATAAATGTACATTAATGCTGAATGTTATTTTGGCATCCAACCCATTTCAGAATTTGAATTATCTTCAGGCTGAGACACATTATGTAAGATTTAGATAAAGACCTGGCCATTCTTGCAATAATAGTTCAAAAATATATATGGCATAATGAATATATATTGAAAATTTCATTCAAATTACTTTATTCAGAGCGAAGATATTAGCCTTTGAAGGTTTGACAAGTTGTGTGCACTGATTGTAACCACCCTATTGTTTGCTTGCAGCTTAGCATAGCTTCACCATTCTTAGATTGAATTATTCCTATCTGAAGGCACTGAGACTTGATTATGGTCTTGTCATGTTAATAAATGTCTAATTTCAGTTTATATAACATTTAAGACCTAACGAAAGACCCACAATAGGCAGATTTAGCGCTTGCATAATGTATGTTTAATAATAATATTATTACTTTAACAGTCTTATGTCGTGTAGTGTTGTATACATTATGTCTAGATTGTATAATGTAATTTATTGTATAATCTATTGTATAATCTAATTTATTGCATATGATTTCAGCAATAATTCAATTGACATCTTTTGTTTATATTTCACAAGATTGAGATAATTAATAATTGTTAGACTCTAAAGGTTTATATTTTAGATTCATATAGATAATATTTTGTGATAAAATGTTTTTTCTTTACGTAAAGAAATTCTAAATGAATATTTACAAGTTGTAATTGTACTGAAATATCATTAGTTAAAAAACCTTTGATAAAAATCATTTCATATTACTTGTGCGTAATTACTTTACGGAGGTCTACATGGAATAAATAATAATGCACGAAGATTTTTTAAATACATTTTTACATCAAAGATTGTTTGCGTCGATAATGTTATGTAAATAATAATGCTTATTTCATAAAACATATTGCGATAGGAAAAAGCAAGAAGAGTTTTTAATATATTTTTTAATCAAACATTGTTTGTGTCGATAATGTTCATTTTATAGATCAAATTGAAGATTCTCGAGATTCGCCTTTCATCTAAAATAGTTATTTTATTTTTCCCCTCTAAATTATTGATATTGGTTTACTATATTTAGATTCTACTCTTGCATAGATGTATTTAATTTAATCTGATTAATTGGTTATTTATCAATAAATGTATCACATTTGCAATCTGATTAAAATACAGATTTATATTTCGTTTCGTTTTTTTATACTTTCGATGGCCTACACTACATGAAGATCTGACAAGTTCTAGCGATAGGTCGCGTCAGAGTTCATACGAGTGGCTTTTGACCCTATGATGTCAGACATTTGATTAACCAATCAGCATTGATGTTTCTAATGGATTACCCACAGTTCCGTGCAAAACACGCCTAAAGCTCGCCGTAACAGACTGTTTCATAGGCTAATCTCTAACACCATCCAGAACACGTCAATCATGGTAACAACTCTTCCAGATCCAAGTGTAATAAAGACAAGTAAAACGAAATTTTGAACTATAAACGAAACGAAATAGGATCTGTGTTTTAATCAGATTGTCACATTTGGGAACCATGGTGGTTTTAGGAGCAAGGTTCTGGTTCACTAACCAAATGGTCTCTTGATATTCCTGTGCTGTTGCCTCTTGTCAGTGGTACAGAACGGCGGTACTAGCCTGAGACAGGATCCAGTCGTTCGAATTGGATAAAAAAAACACCCGACATTTGGTATTTGAAAAAGGAGACTGTATCGCCGCTGTCTTGGCAAAATGTTCTTTTCTTACTATGGATGTAACCTTGTAGCCGTCTATATCAAAGGACATGAAAATGAATAAAATGTAATGGCTTTTAACGTCCTACATAGTGAGCCACCACGCCCCCAACCCCTTTACCCAAGGAAGATTTAACTTATAATGAAACCTTCTCATTCTTCATAGCTAGCCCATTGAATAAAAGATTTCCCTGTTGTTAGTTGAAAATAAAACCTGATCAGTTATTAGTTCCGTATATACTAAGGGGTTTAAACTTTAATCTCTATGTGCTTATTGTTATAGTTGGCCAACAGAATTGGAAAA